GTTTTGTCATTAATTTAAAGACGTATAGGTATTAATTTTATAGTTTACGATCTATCTTAAATTGATGCGAGAATTTCCAATAATTTTTCTTCAAAATTAAAAAGCATTATTTTATATTAAGTTTTTTCCCCAAKTCAAAAGTGAATGTTCAAATATATATTCAACTGTTCAAATTAAAAACAGCAGTACATATACATATCTATAAATTATTATACGCTTGTAATAAGAAACTATTCTTGTACATATTATTAAAACTATGATATTATTACAAAAAAAAAWWAATAATAATAATAATATCCACGGTCTACAACAAAAACAACCGCGAGGGGTGGTGAAAAAAATGAAAAAGGGGGTATTAACCGACCTCCTGGGGTTTTCGATATTCGTTATGTGCCCTGTCCCTGGCACTGGCTGTCTCCGTCGACTGACTTAAGACGCGGCAGTTCCTTGCCGAGCGGATCATTAATCAAAATATTTCACCCCAGCCAAAAGTATCCCCGAAAACCCCCTGAATAGTAATATTCCCTCTCAGTCTTTCATTCTTCCTCGCTTAGGCTCTTACACGCACGCACGCACAACACACACACAAACACATTGCTGTGTCTTTCTCCCTCGCGTTCCCTCTCTATTTCTCTTTCTCTTTCATTCTGCTGCTTCCTTGCTTTTGAATTTCATTTTCTATAGTATTTTTTACTTTTTATTTTACCGCACATCGTCAGTAACTTGCAAAATGCAGACACACCCTGGTGCTGTTGTGTGGGCGACACTTCAACCTATTTAAACAATAAAAAATTAAAATTAAATAAATAAATATTGAAAACTTAGAATTTAAAGAAACTTTAAAATAATTATAACTTAGTATGTTTACGAATAAAATTTTGTATTATCGATCAATATTTATTGTGAGATTATTTTTCACAATTATAAATAGGTTGGATGGTATAAATATATATATACTTAACTCTTAAAATATTTATASCAGTACCTATGTCTCATGACAAATTTTAACAACACTGGTTTAAATAATGTGATATTTTTTACCAAACTTATTATGAAATATTTATCATATTACGTAAGTACAAAGTACCAAACAAATATAATTAATATTTACATATAAATGACTATAAATTGTATAACTACCGATTAACTCGTATGCAAGTACAAAATATTTTGGATTTAGTTAACATCCAAAAAATATCTTATAAAATTACGGTAATAATTTAATTGTGTTATAAATATTTAATCTTAATATTTTTTTTATGAGATGATTAATTAAATAAATGTTATTTATAGAATATTATATATTTATATGCAATTTAGATGCCCGGGTTGGTTTTAACATCATATTTTTATAGAAATTCTATAATTTCTTAGGACCTTAGGTGACCATGCTGATATATTTCTAGTAGGTATACAGGCGTAAATATACGAAGGGGAATTTTTATAGTTCTATCATTTAGCACGTATATAATGTCTAGGATCAACGTCCTGTAAGTTCAAGGAGGATAAAATGTAGGTCTTGGGATGTGGATTATTTTACTCCAACTTGTACAACTACCCTTATATTATTTTACAGTCATCTAGTTTGCGATTAAATTACACTTATATAACTTTAAAACTTTAAAACTGTTTTTTTTTTTTCAAAAAATAATCAATAAGCTGGTTTGGCTGTTTATCAGCAGCTGTTAAATTAATATTTTTCTTATTCCAAAGATCCTCGCATATTGCATACGCTGTTATATAAAACAAATGATAAGTAATAATACATTAATATTTAAAAATGTACACCTATTATATCAAAAAATATAAAAAAGAAATATTAATACTATTAAGCTGGAAGCAATAAATATCGGAAAAAAATTACAATTAAAATTCCGAAATGTTAAAAATGCGTGCAATATTAAATATTTKGTACACTTAATAAGAATTAGAGAATAATTACGATTTACCTATTTCATATCATAATATATTTTGTACGTAGTATTCTGTATCTATAAAAGATGTGTAATACAAATAACTGCAAATAGCATACATAATTGAATCTATAATTTACAACATTTTAATAAAATGTACTTATACTGTCATGTTTATAAAATTATAAATTTGTCACATGTTCATAAGGTAACTTTATTATATCCTGTTATGAGTGTTTTGGGGATATGCAATGCCCATCCCGCCACATCAAAGTTGCGATTTTGCTTATATCGTATTCGTATAAGTATTATATTAAGTTTTTTAAGATTAAAAACAGTAACCATCAGTATAAAATTCTATTAGTTAGATTTAAAAATCAAACCAATTAAATCAACATTTTTACTAAATCTGAATGGATGATAATTAAATAAAATTACATTTTTGTTTTTAGTAAATATAATATTTTTCAATTACAATTTTATCATAAATTATGTATTTACTATAATATTTAAATAAACAATTCATTAGCACGTTGACTAATTTGGTATAATATTACCGACAGTCATTTTTAAATTATCATATTTCATACATAATTATCTGCATAATACATATACAAAATAAAATATAGATATAGATYAATAAAATTAATTTTATAATGTAAAAATAATGAAATAGTAATAAAATTATAGACACCAGAATAACATATAGAACCCATAGAGTTATATTTCGTCGAAAAACTAAACAAAAATATTAATTTTTCATAGATAAATAGATAATTAAGAAAAATATTGATCTATTGTCTTTATGTTTTTCGGTACCAAATTATGTGGTGTCTTTAAAAATGGTGATTGGGAGTAATAAGGCGACAAGCACCGTAAAAAAAAATGTTAGAAAAAATAAGGACCCCAAGAAATTGGTCTCGAAACAATTCATTAATCTTAACTGGGATATCGTCCCTCCCGTTGAGAGTTGGCAGTCAATTTAAAAAGAGCGCCCTATTTTAGTATCGGCAGTGATATAATACTTTTAAATTGGCCATGTTCGTTTTATGTGGGGTGGGCTTTACCAAAAGAATTGGAAATATTAATTTTGAACACCATGTGTGTTTGGGATGCTGGATAACTATTATTATATAATATTATGTTATGAGTTTTTAAACAACAAATTGATAAATCGTTTTTAACACAACATATAAGTACCTACTACCACAAAAAAATTGAACAATAGGTACATATTATAAAAAAATTATAAACTAAAAATATTAATCTTATTTGGAATACTATACGTTTTGTTTAATTTAAATAAATAATTCACAGGTACGGATCCATTTATCAACTACATATTATTACTCTCTAAACATTCTTGATTGATAAATAATAAACATATCACATATTTCGTAGGTATTAAAAATAATATATTTATGCTAGAAAAAAATAGGTATAGAAGATTTGGTCACTCTAAGTACTTTAAAAGTGCCGAATGGCATCATCGTTATAAGAGGACATAATATGATACCAGACGTTATAATATTGTATTGGTATTCACAAAATTATGCACGAATAGTTTGTTAAATCTATAGGTCCGATGTATGTGTAATCGATAACTTTTTTTTTCCATCAAGTATCAATCACGTAATGGGGTCAGATTATGTGGATTATGCACCAGCGTAATAAGTTATATTATAGATTTGGTATTGGTTGTAGTTTTGAAGTGATTTCAATCAATAATTTTTCARGGAGTATTGTATAGGCAATTTATCTAGCCCAGTAGAATATACGAAACGCCAACAGACGATCGTTTTATGTAATATTACACAAAATATCCGACGTTGTACAAGCCCCCCCCCTCCGGACCTATATCAATACGACTTGGTCAATGGTCAATTATTAATAGAACATGTAAATAAATGAATAATTTTGTTTTAATAAACGGAGACTGATAAATTCATATAGTCCGATAGTCTGTGGTTCAATCTCTACCTAATACAGGTGTTAGCAAATACTATAGATTCTATATATAATCTATAGTACCTGGTGTTAGGTAAGTATAGATACTGATGAACAGAACAGAACTACGAGAAATGTTGAAGAAAATTTAGAGACGATAATCTTATCATAAGAAGCTATAAATATTTTAAAATAGATATAACTAGGTACTACCTATGTACCAATTATAATAAAATAACTGTTATCGAAATGGAAAAACCCACAAGGCCACTATAATAATCATTAACAAAACAATTCGAATTAAACACTCCAGCGTCTATGAATGCAGCTGCAACTAATAACGATACAAAGTACAAACTAAATTATGTAAATTATATTATTAAACTAAGAACTATATTATCAAGATCTCCAACTCTGAAGACCACCGACTTTTGAGGATAATWTATTTTTTTGATTATTAAATTTGTAATTTTCGCCAATCTTGGTGTTCGAATAATCAAAAAATTCGATACAATCCGTTTCCACTGACCCTTTTTACAAACATTATGCTTCCTTATAAAGTTATAACATAACCATTTTAAGACTACCTAGTGTTTAAATATTTTTAACGAATAAAGTACTATAAATAAATAATTAATTGTCATTTGTTAATAAAGTAGGTAGGTAGTAGGTACTTATAATTGTATAATTGTGTTTTTTATGTGCAATGTGCATGTCTTTTGTCGTGCATTGCAATCCAGTGGAGTATATNTGAACCCAAAAAACCCTCCTAAATACACCACTGAATTGCACCTGCCTATTTCAGTACGACAATTATTACCTATAATTCTTATTTTATAAGTAGTTAAATTCATCCAAAAATTGACAACTAACCAAACATACACGAGTTGAGTGTTAGTTTGTTCGGCTTATAAACTTTGACGATTTAAATTTTCATCTTGAATTTTTTTCTTTTTTTGATGCATCATAATATAATGTGATAATATTATAATTTATAATATATATGCATAACTGCATAAGTACTTCAGTATTTGAATCGTTTTAAGTCGCGGCATAGAAAGTAAGTTGGCACCACGGTTAGTTTTTATCACATAATATGTACAAATTGATAAGAAACATATTTAATATTTGAAAATTAAAACCGAAATACCGAATTCACTAATTTAGTAATTTAGTATTCCTTTTCCTCACTCTTCCTGTCTATGATAGTCCGATTAAAACAGAGTCGAATTATTCGAATTTCGAGTATAGAATATAGATCGACAATCATTGACATTATTGACCAATCACAAATGGTAACTTGTTGATTGTTCACATTTTTTTCCAGCTTCGGCCATCCGGGCAACTTCCGTCTTCTATTTATCGGTAAAAATTGGAGCCGATTGTGTAAACTGACTAAACTGAAATAATATAACTCCTATATTATAGTTGAGCTATATAACTATTGACGTCGTTCACTGTTTTATTGTATTTTAGTATCTGTGAGGTATTCATTCATTTTTAATAAGTTTTTAACTTAATAATTAATATGGATGTACCTCTTGTTTACTAGGTTTTAGGCAAACGTATCAAAATGGCAACTCCAAACAACAATAATGCATCCGACGAAGAAAAAATTGATCCGATGAAAGACGTACGTGCAGGAATTGTACGAGAAGTGGGTAGTCAAGCCATATGGAGTCTATCTTCATGCAAACCAGGTAAAATAAAAATTGTTCTACTAAAAAAGCTGAAGACAATGTAGCTATTTAGCCAATAAAAGAACTTGTTTTTYTTGTGTTATGAACTTGGCAAATAAAAATTAATGACTTATACTGAAGGAAATGTCCTCAGTAGTCCCCAAGACATACAAGTTCATAGACTTGCACAACTTACATTTTTCCGACTACGGTGGAGGGCGGCAAATAATTTCTAATAGAATCTGGATGATTAAAATATTAAATAGATGAGGTTCAATGAAAACAATTTTTGTCAAATCTTTATATTTTTACAATAGTTATATGAAGACAAAAACATTTTAAGATGTGTSGACAGTCCAGTTTTCTGCCTTCCACGGTCTGCCAATATCTTACTGTTAGACTATAGTATACCTACAATATTAAGCTTTTAAATTATTTTTACTATTTTATTTTAGGTTTTGGTGTGGACCAGTTAAGAGATGATTGTATGGAAACTTACTGGCAGTCAGATGGTCAACTTCCACATTTAGTTAATATTCAATTTAGACGTAAAACAGTTGTGCGTGATATATGCATATACATTGACTATAGACTTGATGAAAGCTATACACCTGGTCGTATATCAGTACGTGCTGGCACTAATTTTAATGACTTACAAGAAGTCGAGGTAGTTGAACTAAACGAACCATATGGTTGGGTAAGAATAATGACTAAAGATATCAATGATTCACCATTGAAAACATATATGCTACAAATCGCTGTTATAACCAATCATCAAAATGGAAGAGATACACATATGAGGCAAATTAAAGTTCACTCACCAGTTGAAAAAAGAGATCTTCTGATTGGTAATTTTAGCACAGTAGAAATGAGACAATATACAATCATAAAATAAACTATTTTGTTTTATTATTTGTTAGCTAATATTATGCTATGATATACTATGAAAGATTAGATTAAAAATTACAATTATCATTTGGGTAGTTACCTTCTAAATTGTAAGTTTATATTTGACGTAAAATGTTAACATTTTGTATTAAGTTATTGAATTTATTATTCTTCTTTATAACATATGAAGTTGTTTTATTATGAAATTTATCATCTTGACATTTTTTTAGAATCCAAAAAATATTTGTTAATAATATATTGTACCTTTTTTTCTGATTTTTATATTTTACATTTGTACGATAATTTTATGATGAACATGACTTAAGTACTCCAATTCCCTTAAAATGTTGTACTGTGCCCTTAAAATATTATAGCCATATTGGTAATTTGACTATTATATTATTGACATTTGACTGTTG